TCTAAAAGATGTTCCATGTGAAATAAGAATGAAAAGAAAAGAATATAAAGGACTGACCAGATTTCTACAAAACCATCAAACAAACTACAAATGGCTGGTGCCCGAAGGACTGACTTTCAAGTTCAAGGAAAAGAGAGAAAAGATTGACTCTATCTTTAAGGCTCAAGACTTTCTAGAAAGGCACGCCAGCAAAGAAGAAGAGGCAGAACTGGCCAAGTGGATGACAGAACTGAATGTGGAAGACAGTAGCTCGGAGGGAGAGCTGAAGGACGAGGAACCCAAAGGAGCGACTGCCTTGAAGTATAATCTGAGAGACAAGAGAAGCAAAGACCCCAGACTCTAGAAACTTTTCTATTTTTTGGATTACACTTTGAAAAAGAAACTAACTCCCAGAAGGACACTACTAACACACTAATTGCCTGGTTAACAGAGATGGAAGAAGAAAAGAACGCCGGTCTACAGAAGCAGTGATTGACTCTAATTCTTAACATGAAAAGATTAATATACTAATATATTAACACCACTCACTCTTTTCTTTATCCATCTATATACCCTCCCCCTTTCTTGACCTTAAGCGAAATATCTCTCCTCTTTAGGAGAGGGTTAATAAAGCTATTAATAATAATTAAAAAAAGATCAGTATTGTCTACTCCAATTTGCAGCTGCTCTCCAGGGTCTCAGACAGAGGTTTTTCACTTCACCTGATCCTTTTAGCTGGAGATGCTAGGGATTGAATCTGGGATCTTGCATGAAAAGCCAATGCTCTGCCCCGGAGTCATGGCCCATCTCAAGTCTTCCCTATTTCCTTCTGCTTTCTCTTCATGCTCTTCCTGCCTTGTCTGACCAGCTGCCTCCTTGCTCTTCTAGTTTGTCTGCCCACCTAGTCTGCTTTCCCTGTCACCCATTTATCTTTCCAGACCTGTCTGGCACTTCAAAAAAGCAGACTTGTGGGGGAGGTAAACCATAGGTCAAAGAAGACAGGGACGGCAAAGGATGAGATGGTTAGACAGTGTCATAGATGCAACGAACATGAAATTGAGCACACTTCAGAGGACGGCGGAAGACCGGAAAGCCTGGCGGGAGCTGGTCCATGGGGTCGCGAAGAGTCGGACTCGACTGTGCGACTGAACAACAACAAACCATAGCTGGCCGTAGCTTCCCCTGGTTGCCTGCTTGATGTGATTGCTGCCACCACCTTTTCTCATGGCACCTTGGGTAGCTACTGCAGTACAACATACTGCTCAAACTTCTTTTTAGCACTGTTATATCTGAGCATGTGCAGATGTCACTGTTCTGCACATGCGTAGATATTGCTGTAATTTTGGGGGGAAGGGTACTCCCATTAAAAAAAAAAACTTCCCCTATACCCTACTCCTGTACAATCCTGTTGTGCAAACATTCTGATTTGCAGAGTGGGGTTGCATGTCTATTTGATATATAGATAAGGACGAAACAGAGCTAGTGACTTACCAAAGATGGGTACTAGAAAACAGGGACTGTCTCTAATAATGGAAGCATATAAAGTGTATGATGTGCATGGCAATGAACAGGTGAGCTGGCATGAATACATTGCATCCATGTCCCCAGGTCTGCATTTTGTTTGTTTATTTTATTCAATTTCTAGCCCCTTCTCCCTGCACAGCCGGCTCAGAGCGGGGTACAAGTATAAACATAAGCAATCAATTAGCATAGAGTATAAAATCATAGTAAATTGTTAAAACCTGTGGCATCACATACTTATTTAAATAACAATAGATGGCGATCTATGACACAATTAATGGATCCCAGCCCAACCTATATGTGCCGTAGATGGAATAACACATGGAAGGGAATCAGCCACAGTAGATGGAACAGGGCAGGGGAGGCCAGTGTAGATGTTTTACTGCCGTCTCAACCATAGGCCTGGTTTCTTGGTGTATTTCATTGGTATACCAGCTTTTCATAACCATGTTGTTCAATGCAGTGAGGTTGGTAATACCCTGATATGTGAGTTATGCAACAGCTGCAGGGAGAAAGCATGTGCAAATGAGGGGAAATTTATTCTTCAATGCTGAACACTGACAGATAAACCCTTGCAAAAATCGCAGACCTTAGGCTGAAGTTGCCACAAGGTGGCGCACCTCCAAGCAGTTATGCTAATACATATCTGCAATTTTTAAGTCTTAATTGGAGGATGCTTAGGAGCCTTTGAACATTTAAGAATCCTAGATATGCTCAAATTAAGGCCTTCTGCCACTTAAAAAAAACTGGAGATGGGCATTAGTATAATTGCTTGGAGATGCACCAACCATGTGACATCTTTGTGCAAAAGTCGTAATATTTCATTGTGTCTCAGGCTATGTGTACACAGTAGTACGTAGAGCGCTGGACTAGGATCTAAGAGACCCAGGTTTGAGTGCATACTTTGCCATGAAAGCTTGCTGGGTGATCTTAAATATGGGGAGGTGTTATCGGGGCTGTCGCACTTTTGTTCTAAAAATAGGAGTCCAGTAGCACCTCTTCTCTGACAGAGTTTTCTTTGACTTCTAAAAGCTTATGAATACATTTTGTTGGTCTTTAAGGTGCCTCTGGACTGCTGTTTAATCTTGCTGCAATAGACTAGCACAGCTACTCCTCTGTCATTATTCTTAAGACTGGATCCTTTTTTCCCGTGGGATATGAGCAGCAGCTGGTGTGCAGCTGTGATTGCAAGAGATGGCAGCCAGTTTTTTTTTTAATTTATTGTTACATTTCTATCCCGCCCTCCCCTGCGAACAGGCTCAGGGTGGCTCGCATTCAGGGTATAACACTTTACTGCAGTGGATTACAGAGCAAACAGACCCATGTGAATCCCAAAATGTTTTGAGCCTGTGGTGAGCAATGCTCCCTCTAAGCAGTGGAGTCTTGTGAGCAGAAATTCTGCTTTGTGAGCTACTGGCATTAAAGTGGTGAGCAAGCAATTTGGCTCCTCCATAAATTAGTTTGCTCCGGAGCCATCCTTCCTGAGCTAAGACAAAAATGTGTGAGCCGGAGGCTAATAAACTGTGAGCTAGCTCACACTAACTCAGCTTAGAAGGAACACTGGTGGTGAGTGCCTTTGGAATTCTGACATAGTGGGGAAGGGTACAGCCCCCAAACAGCTGCCACAACACAGCTGCTGCAGGAGGTGGAGCCAGCAACACAATTTCTGCCACATCTTACCTTCAGTCACACAGTGAAGGTCCTTGTGCTGTGGTGGCAGCGAATGCCAAAGCAACGTTTTTAAAAATCTGCAGAGCCCATCAGAAGGCCTGCTGGGCAAAAGCCCCACTTGGCCCTGACCACTTTCTAAAAACACTTGGTGGGCACCAGGAAAGGTGTCAGTGGGCGCCGTGGGCACCACATTGGGGCCCCCTTGCTGCATCCTGTCCGCTGTGTTTGCTCTGCAAGAACTGATTTAAAAGCCAAGCCAGTGGCCGTTGTTTTGATTTAAAGATATGCTAAAGCACCATTGTCCTAAACCCCTTTTGCAGCAATTCCAAAAAAGGGGAACCTTGCTGGGATATGGAATGGAAGGCTGACATTGCAGGGTGCAAATTTAGAGTCCGGTGGCACCTTTAAGACGAATAAAGTTTTATTCAGGGTACGAGCTTTCTGTCGAGGTTTGCGCGGTGCTAGCCCACTGCAGGTTGCGAGTGGTGTGAGAGTATCAAAGAAAACGTAAGTCTTATAGGTTTGGTGTAAAACTATATACAATTTATTCACACGAGCCTCCACCAATATATTGCACAGAATGACAAAATGCTCACGCAGACACCAGGTTTCCATCAGAAAGAATGGTACATTGTACAGCATCACATATATACAAGCATTGTCCAATCAGGAGCCAATGCTGAGTCACTGTGAATTAGCTCTGCTCTCAGCTAGGCAGAGCCAATTGGAGCCAGCTCTACTGACACTCTGAGCTGTCAGCTCCTGTCAAACAGATTGATATGATCTACAACCAGACTTATAGAACACATGGATGTTGACACTTTCATGTGCAGGCACATTTTTTTCCAAATACATTGGAAGGATACATTTTTCAAATACATTGGAAAGTGTGTGTGCACATGAAAGCTCATACCTTGAATTAAACTTTGTTGGACTTGAAGGTGCCACCGGACTCAAACTTTGTTCTACTGCTTCAGACCAACATGGCTGACCACATGGATCTATTGCAGGGTGCCTTAAGGCTCATTTTCAAGCACTGACATGGAAAAGGATTTGGATTGAGACTGTGGTGCTAGGTTAGGACTCAAGCATGCATGAGTCTGTGGGGTGCAGGGAGGGTACCTTCCTGAAAGTGCATTACCATAGTTATGAACACTTGATATGCTCTCTTTATATCATTTCAGAAATAAAACAATGCTATTTGCTTTCCTGGCCATGGATAAATGTGGGAGACTATGTTACAGGTACAGACCATACCAGGATAAGTTATGCTGTAGCCATGACCAGGAGGACCTCTGAACTGCTAATAGTCCGGTAGGGAAAAAGGCAGGTAATCTAAGAAATGTCCCAGAGGTCACTTCCAAAGAGCCAGTTTGGTGTAGTGGTTAAGTGCACGGACTCTAATCTGGGAGTACCGGCTTTGATTCCCCACTCCTCCACTCGAACCTGATGGATGACCTTGGGCAAGGCATAGTTCTGTCAGAGCTGTCCTTGAAAAAGAGCAGTTTGTGTCAGAGCTCTCTCAGCCCCACCTACCACACAGGGTGTCTGTTGTGGGGAGGGGAAGGGAAAGGAGTTTGTAAGCCGCTCTGAAACTCCTTTGGGTAGTGAAGGGCGGAGTATAAATCCAATCTCCTCCTCCTCCTCTTCTTCTTCTGTGAGCCCCCAGTTTGGGGTATTTCTCAGATTGCTTGTCTTTGTACAGGACATCCTAGGGAAATTAGCAGTTAGGCTGTGGCTCCTCGGCACATGATCCAAAGTACGCCAGAGTGGAGAGGGAGAAGTCCACTCATCCGCAGCAGGCTTCACTATCTCTAACCTAACCTTGTAGAGCCTTAGACCTGCCCCCTCCCCGAGCATCCCCTCCCTCCCAAGCCAATAAGAACGCAGAGAAGCGAGCCCACGTGCCTGGGACTGCTGTCACTCACCAACCGCGAGCTTCTGCGCTTCAGGCTGGGGTTGCTGGGTGTGCGCGCCCTTCTGGGCGGTTTAGCGGCGAGAGGAGCGGCGCAACGGTGTCTTGCAACGATGGCGGTGGATCTTGGCGCATGGGGCGGCCCGCTGAGCCTCACTGAGGTGGACGAGAAGCCGGCCAAGCCTCTGCGGGTCCGCTATGGGGGAGTGGAGATCGACGAGCTGGGCAAAGTGCTCACTCCCACCCAGGTTAAAAATCGCCCGACAGACATAGAATGGGATGATTGCAGTTCGGAGAAACTTTATACCTTGGTTCTCACCGACCCTGAACGCGCTCGAAGCAAGTAGGCTCTGTTTTCTTCTGCATGCGCCTGTCTCTCAAATGCAACGGGAAGAGCAATGCAGGCTGCAGCTATGCAGGAATAAGAATTCCCTAGGCCTCGATCTAGTGCATTCGAAATAATCAATGCCTGGCATAATCCTATTTCAAATCCATCCTCTTTAGTGCTTTTGCAGACCCCCCCCCCCCCCTTCAGTTCCAAGAGGAAGAAGTCGAGCAGACCCGTTAGATGCAAGGCCTGGCCTAGCCCGGGATCCTTGTATTTAGATCTCGACAGATTCAAAAGGGGGAGGTACCCATGAAAACTTGATACATGCGCATAGTGCTGCTGCTTTTGCTGACGAGAAGTGGTAGCGTGCGCGTTTGGGATTCTAGGAAAGGGATTCTGGCTCTACAAGACAAGTCGTGTCCCGGAGCTTCTCTTTTTTTGAAAACTAACTCGTTTCTGATGGCATCCCGGGGGCATTTTGCATAAAGAAAGAGATCCCTTCGCGTGCCATGGGAGGCTCGGGGAAAGGAAAGAGTTTGCAAAACGAAGAAACAAACGTCAGTAACTGAAACCAAAGAGTCCAAGGGGCGACCGGGACGTGCAGCGAACTACGCAGGCCCCAATTCGGCCCGCCTCCTTTGGTGCCAGGCTGCAGTAGTTGCGCCCCCCGTGTCCCGAGGGCGGGTGGCCTGGATTGGGGTGGGTGGGGGCTGCACACCCGGGCGGAGTTTGCGGTTGCAGGAACGCGCCGGGTTAGACTCGGGACCCGATCAAGTGGCAACGCCAGGCCTGTTCCCGCTTGCCCGAAACGTGTAGCTCGGAATGAGATTCCTCCGGTTCAGTCAAGAAGTGCGTGCAGTTGTGAATCCGCAGGGACCGTGTGTCATTGTTCGGCAAACATATTGTGATGCGCCTCTTTTATAGGAAATGGGTAGGAACCGTGTGCCATTGGGATGCCCCTCTTTTGTTCTGACGCAGCCCTAACGCCCGCAGTGCCTCGGCTGAGATTCTTACTGGCCTGCCTAATCCAGGGCTGGTTCCAAGTTTTGGGGGTCCCCAGGTGCAGGGTGTCCAGCCACAGGAGGACCCCCACTCATGCCTTCCTTCCAGGCCAGCCACATCCCCACCTGTCTGTGTGTCCTTTATACTTTCCCCTGCCCATTTGTGAGACTTTCTACTGTCCATATATCCTTTCCCCGGATGGGGTTGGTTCTGTACTTGCAGATAGGAACACAGCATGTAGTTGGGGGGGCTCTGGGGCAGTGTGTCTTTCCAGGAATCCTGGGCCCTGGCAGCTGTCCTACCTCAGGGCTTTTGGGTTGCCAACATCCTGGAGAGAGGAAAAAACCCTAGCCTGCTCCTTTAACAGAGGCATGATGTATGGAAATGGGCAGATGAAGCTTTTTCCTGGCCCGGAACATCCCCTGGTAAAGAAGATTCTGTTAAGATTTGTAAAAGGAGCAGAGTGTTTTTCCCTCCTCCAGGTTGTTGTCCTCACAGTGTGGCTCTGGTTATTCCCCAATGAGAAAAGAAATGCACCCTGCATAGATGCTCAGAGGCTCTTCCTTGCCCGTAAAGGGCCAAGGCGGCTACTAATTGAGTAAATTGGTAGTAGGAGTGGCTCTGATTATTCACTTAGAGGAGAAAGGGGAAAGTGTGAGAGCATCCTAGGAGAATACACAGGTGTGCTGTAGAGGTGTGCAAATAAAAAGCAGGTGATTAACATTTATGGACCTCCATTATGGTAGCATTAGAGTTTACCAGCCCCCTTCTCATGTTATTCTGGATCTCCCATTAGAAAACTCTTTGTGTTGTCCAGGTACAGGAGGTAGTAAAATTCAGGGGTGGAAGAGTGGACTTCACTACTCTAGCTTGCAACTGGGGGCATGCCATTTTTTAATGTTGCCCCCCCCCCAATGTTAAATCAATTCTGTGCAAGCAGAAAGCATGCATATTGAAAATTTTTAGCACTGTCGGCCTTCTGAAGTGCAAGTTTTTTTATTTACAAGTAATTTTTTTTTCAAATATAGAGGAGAATTAAATGTTATCGGAAGTGGCATCATCCCCTCAACTGCCTTATTCTAGACTAATCTGCTTCATATCACAGGTGGATGATTGGAGTTACATGCCCAAATGCTACCTTTTGACTCCTGTATAGCCTGCAGTGGAACGCTCCTGGATTGGCTTTCATTTCCTTTATAAACCGGGACCTTGCAGTGCTTTGCCAGAGGTACAAAGTCGCAGCACCAGGGCCGCTTGGAGTTGTCCCAGAGATAACTGCAGAAGCCATCAAGCAAAGCAAATGCCTGGGGTGGCTGAACTTGGGAGGAGGAGCTTAGAATTCAGCCTTGGAGTGATAATGACATGCACTGGCCAATGTGTTTCAAAACCTCAATTCAGTTGCATGCACACACACAAAATGCAGGTGATTTATACACTAACTTATTATTGATTCACATTGTTTACTTTGATTGGCAGAAGCCCTGTGGGACACTGGATCGACAAATGTCTTTCTGCACACTTGCTTCCCCCTTTTAACTGGTGATGCCAAGAACTGAATGAACCCTGGGACCTTCTGGGTGCAAAGTTTGCATTCTGCACTGAAACAGCCTTTTCCTTTCTCTCTGTGACCATGTGCAAGTCCCTTATATCTAGTTAGGTCCTGGGCTTAGAATTCAGAGTGATGTTGACACCCCCTCTGACCCGTGTGTGTTGAAACATCAATCAGCTGCAAGTCTGAACATAGGAAGCTCTTTTAGCATTGATCTCTGTTGGCAAAGAGAGGTCTTTCCTAGCTATCCAAAAGGGCAGCTATACTCAGAAAACTGAGGCTTGTGAATTCATATCTCAGAATAAACTACGATGCATACCAAGGTTAATTATTTACTGAAATTTCATTTTGGTGCCAAGCTACAGTTTCCCTGCCCCAACTTGTTAGGACACTCAGATGTCACAAATTAAGTGGGATTTGCTCAGACCGTGGTGTATAGACCTTTATTTTATTTTGATATTTGAACACAGCCTTAGTTTGTTGTAGGAAAACCAAAAAGGAGTACTTTAAAGAATAAATGTAGGCTCAAAGCAGGTTTCACTCAGTTTCCCCAAATCCCCCTCCTTAGCCCCCATCCTTCATGGCTTTAGTCCTTGCAGGTCCCTATGATCTCCAGCACAGCCTTGTTTGGTGGTCAAAGGGGACTCTTTTCTCCCATTTCCACCAGTGGAAAAACTGGTTGGCTCCAAAGCTACAACAACAAACCAGTTAGCGCTGGTGATTGCTACAAGGTTCCTGTTTTGTTTACTCAGTGCTGAAGAAATGTATGCGAGTGATCTGTATTGGGATATTTGATTAATACAGCAGAGTTTTGCCCAGTCATAGAAGCATCATACTGGGAGCCAGTAAATAAATCTCCCAAGCAGTATATTGCAAATAAATATCCCATGCAGTATATTCAGGTAGATCCAGTTCATATCCAGGTTGTGAATGAAAGAAGAGAAAGAAACCTAATATAAAGAGTGCTTTCCCTAGTACTTGAACTGCGGTGGCTCAAGTGGTTAAGACGCTGTGGAACTGCAGGCTGTGGAAGGTCGGTAGTTCAGCAGTTCATGACCCGAGTGCGCCGCATGACGGAGTGAGCTCTCGTCTCTAGTTCCAGCTCCTGCCAACCTAGCAGTTCGAAAGCAAGAAATTGCAAGTAGATAAATAGGGACCACTTCGGTGGGAAGGTAACAGCGTTCCGTGCGCCTTGGTGTTTAGTCATGCCGGCCACATGACCACGGAAACATCTTCGGACAGCGCTGGCTCTTCGGCTTTGAAACGGAGATGAGCACCGCAACCCTAGAGTCGGATTCGACTGGCTTTTGAGCAAGGGAACCTTTACCTTTACCTTTTCCCTAGTACAAATGGCCAGCTAATCCAGCATCGTGTGTATGGGAATATGGGGGCATTGTATCTACGGGAGAGACCTGCAGAGACATGTCTCCATGGAAAGCCATGTGCAGAAAGTGAGAGGACAAAGGGAGAGAGAGGAGGGGTCACAGGGCAGCTCCCAGGTTAAGACAACAAGAAGCATCCCATTCAAGGAGACAACATCTATACCCACTTAGAATGATGTCACCCCCCCAACCATGCTGAGTCACTCTTTCCTTAGTTTATTTATACTGTGTTGGAAGTTGGTATGCCCCTATTTTAAATGCGTTGAGTGTTAACGCTTTTGTAACCCTCCTGTGTCCTTGGAATGGGACACCTTGCAGGTAAGGGGAAACCAGGCCGTGACTGTGGTCTCCTTGGCCATGGCAAACAGGAGAGGGAAAAGTATTATTACGTTTGTTTTGAGTTTGTAAAAGTTGTAAGATGGGAGTCAAAGGAGGAATGTGGATAAGCGGAATCTCTGGTGATGGAATGGGGCAGTTGTCGGCCCACCATCTTCCTACTCCCTTCTGGCAAAATTTGATAATCCCAAAAGCTCTGCTCCTCGTGTCAGTGCTCCTCAAAGTGGCCTGCATTTCCTTGTGACTGGCTCATTCATCTTGCTTGGCCACAGAATGCCTTTAAAACACTGCTTTGCAAACAGGGCTGGGGAAAATCTCTACCGTATGATCCCAGGAAGTCATACAGCACACTAGGCTCTACAGACCCTTGATAAGATTTCCAGTTTTTTCCTAGTAAGAGTTTCTGTGCCTAATGTACAGAAATTTAAATATCGAAGTATGTGTTCATTATTTCCTCTCTCACCCATTTATTCAGCCCATATTGGTTTCCAGAAGGATTGAAAACCCCAGACAACTAAAATGTAATCCTCAACTTGGGGAGAGGATTCTTAACAGAGCTGGATCCAGAAATGGTGGAGAGATACTTGGCTGCTTCATGCCTCCCTTCTTTGGCATTAATAGAGGCAGAGTGATAATGGGAAGCTTCAGCTACTACATTTCTGCTGCTAAAGGCGCAGGTGCCTTTTGGGGAGGTAAAACTGGCAACTCAGATCCCAACCCAAAGGGGTGATGATGACTCTTTCTGTTGAGGAAGGCTTCTTTCCTTATTTGTGAGTTATGGATATCTTTCAACTTTGTTTTGGCAGGTTAAAAATCGCCCAACAGACATAGAGTGGGATGATTGCAGTCCAGAGAAACTTTATACCTTGGTTCTCACTGACCCTGATGCCCCTAGCAGGAACAACCCCAAGTTCAGGTGAGAGGAGGAGGATTCATTCAGAACGTGTTGACTCGAAAGCACGGGATGTTGAAGTTTGCAAAAATGCCAGTCCAATAATAGAAGTATAAAATGTAGTTGATAACAGCACTAATTAACTTAGCGCAAATGGACTTTATACCATGTTTTGCCCTCATATCTTTCTCTAAGGTAGGTTAAGCTGAGAGAGAATGACTGGCTAAAGGCACCTTGGTGACCTCTGTGGTTCAGTAGGGATTTGAACCTGGGGTCCCATAGGTTCTAGTTCAGCAGTCTAACCACTACAACACAGTGATCTTGGGTCTAATGACTGGCAAAATCTCTTATCTCAAATCCTGGGAGAGCAAGATTCAAAAGCTAGTGTCCTAGAATGTTGACCCAGTCCTAACTTTATATTTGGGTTCAATTCTCCGTTCTGCTGTGAAGTTCTGGGATGGTAACCCTCCCTCTCTCTCTTGAACCTACCCCACAGGGTTATTATGAGGATTAAATGTGTCCAGGAGAAACCATATGCATCCTGAGATACTGGGTAGAGGGATGGGGGGGAATGTGATGCATGTAACCTTGATAGGACCTCCCAGTTCTTTTGTTGTTGGCATTTTTGTGTGTGTGCATGTGCCTGGAAGTCATGGCAACCTCTGGTGACTCCTACTGGGGCATGAAGGATGTTCAGAGTAGTGGCTTGATAGCCTGCCTCTGCCTCCTGGCCCTGGTATTCTCTGGAGGTCTCCCATCCAAATTACCAGGGCCGGCCCTGCTTAGCGTCCGAGATCTGACAAGATCGGGCTTGCCTGGGCTATCCAGGTCAGGACTGGAACCTTCTGGTCCTTGACATTACTGCATAATTTAACCCTGGGAAGCTGAACTTGATTGTACTCCTCTTCCTTTTTAGAGAATGGCACCATTTCCTGGTGACCAACATGAAGGGCAATGATATCAGCAGTGGGTGTGTCCTGTCTGACTACGTTGGCTCTGGGCCTCCCAAAGGAACAGGTAGATGACCAACAGCTGCCTTTTCTCTTGGTGTTTCATTTGCATATGTAAATACTTGCTCCATGACAATCGGCTAGTTGATTCTCTGACTTAGTTTGGTTCCCTGGAAGCTCTAGGCCTGTCAATCCAGGCCATGGAGGACCAGGAAGAATTATAAAGTGTAATTGTTCTTCAATGAACAACAGGGGAAGGGCCTTGGCTCAGTGGTAGACCAGCTACTTTGCTTGGGGGAGGTCCCTGGCTCAGTCCCTGGCATTTCCCATTCAAGGAGATCTTAGAGATGCTCCTGGAAAGGCCTCTGGCTGAGACATCTGAATCTACCTTATATTGTCCTGCTCTTGGTCCATCTAGCTGACTATTGGCAGCAGCTGTATAGCGCCTTAGACAGAGGATGTTCCATTGCAACACTTCTACCTTTAACTGGACATTTTGGAGATTAAGGCTGCAGCTGTGACTCTGTGTTCAAAAATCTACACAAGTTCCCAAGTTCAGTCCCCGTAACTGGGAAGAGAAATTGAAATTATGCAGTATTTTCCTATCAAAGCTGAACTTCTTTTAGTGATTGAACACCATGCAATACATCACTTATAACTTAGCACATAAAATTGTATCATTAGGTGTGTTTATGGAATTTAAATGTACAAATATCTTCATTTTCTGTAAGGAAACATTGCAGTTTTACCCAGTACAGAGGTGCAGCCTGCTGCACCCTATGCTACCATAGCATGTGTATCTTTAATTTTTGCCATCCAAAAGGTAGGTAACAATAAAAGTTGAAGGTACAAAATTTTTTTGTACTGAACAAAAGAAAGTGTGCTATTTGGACAGAAACTCTTCAGAGATAGAACTGCCACATTTGGATATTAAGCCAAACTTTATAGCAGTGAAAATACTGAACTCTTTCAGTCTGTATTATCATTAAACACAAAGCCTGTTAATTGTTGCCAAATTATTTACATTTAAATACAAACAGTTCCAGTAAATAATGTACATGTCTACATGTACAATAAGAAATGAAAGTAAGATTTTTCATACTCAGAATGTGCAGCATGAAAAATGCCTCAGGACTTTTCCCAAGTTTCCTAATGGAAAAAATTGGATAATAGGGGAAGTATTGAAAATGTTCCTAAGAAATATTTTCTTGGTTTGCAAGTGAGGAAGTCCTTATCTTCCATTGGGGATCTTGGGAAGTCCTGAGGTCTTTTTCATGCTGTACATTCTCAGTGTGAAATACCATGTCTCATTTTTAGTCCTGCTAAAAAAGAAAATATTCTGTAGGAGTCCCCCCCCCCCCAGCCCCCCCCCAATTTTTCAAATTTTTTGAGGAAGGGGGGGGGGGCATCGCCGGGGGGGGGGGGAAGCCTTCCCCACAAAGTACTTCCCTCCCCCTGGGGGTTGCGGCCTTCACATCTATCTTCTATCCCTACTTTATAGATAATTAAGGCAGTTTCTTGTTTCAGTCCACAAAACTCCTGTTGTCATGTTGAGCTTGAGGGTTTTTTATTTGTAGTGCTAGGCAGATGTATCCTGATTCCTTGCATTTGCTTCTCTCTCTCTCTCTGTCTGCAGGGCTGCATCGCTATGTTTGGCTGGTCTACGAGCAGCCCCAGCAGCTGAACTGCAACGAGCCCATTCTCAGCAACCGATCTGGCGATCAGCGTGGCAATTTCCAAGTGGCAGCATTCCGCAAGAAGTATAAGCTGCCCCCTCCCCTGGCGGGCACGTGCTACCAAGCTGAATGGGATGACTATGTGCCAAAGCTCTATGAGCAGCTCTCTGGGAAGTAGGACAGCCCCATTTCCCCGCCCTCTTCCCCTGCCCTGTAGTGTTAAATGAGTGGCATGAACACCAGTAGAGGTACCCAGGCCACTCCTGGCAGTGTTGACTTGGTAAAATGTTTTTTAACTGGCTAGTTGTTAGTGGGGACAGCAACTCCGGTCAGATTTGTCATACTGGCCTCACTTAGAGAGCTGTCCATCTTGTTGCTATTCAGATTCACAATGAACTCTGAAATGTATATTTGGAGGAAAAAAATTTGGCTAGACAGTTGCTTTTTTGCAAATCTTTTGCAAAGTCTGATGGTAGAATCTGGTCTTTCTGTGTGCTTGAAATGACACTGTTGTTGTCACTTTCCCTTCTATTTAATGATTTGCTACTGTGACTGGGTGCTAATGGTTCATTCTAGCAGAGTTTACTGCCTTGTAAGCCCATGACTTCTGTCTATGCTTAGGATGGCATTGCAAACATTCTTGTTTGGAAGGGATTTCCTTCAAAACTGGTGGGACTTCAGGCCAACTCATGAATGGCCTTGGCAGTGCCTCTACTGCTGCAAAGTGCCTCTACTGCTCTCTCTCACCCATGGCTGTCGCTGATACCATGCAGATGTTGCAGTTGTCTCCACTACAGCCGGGCTGCTGCTCTTGTTATGAGAAGTACTCATAATTGTTCAGCTACTCATGTGACATAAATAATCTCTGAGTTATCATAAAGATGCCAGCGGAGGAGCATTTTTTTTGGCTGCAGCCACAGAGATCATGTATGAATTGGCCTAAAGTTCCAGTAAATATATTTTAGGATTGCATTCTGAGTTTTGAAATCCCTGAATTGGATTTCTCTCTCGCTCATGTCATTAGGATCTCCCAGCAGAGTCAACATAAATGTAGAATGGCCTAGTCTGTGATTTAAGAATAAGCTGTCCCTACCTTTAAGGTGACGACCTAGTACATTGTAATGGGGCCACAACTGGTAAATGCTGCTGACTTCTAATTCTTTCTTTAGGGTGCTGTTATCTCCTTTTCTGTATCTCTCACCAGGATCTCAACATTCTTGTGGCTGGGTAGGAGTGTTCTATGACTTCTTTTCTTCTGTCTTGTTTTGCCAGAATTAACACACAAAGTGGGAACTGCACAGGTTAGGTAGACCTTTAAAATACCCTGAGAGGTCTCCTGATTTAGTACACAAACTGTCACTTGCATGGAAAGCCCTCTGCTGGCGCTGGGGTGTGGTTTATGCAATTGTTTGTTTGGTGTTTCAATTAAAAGCTTAGAATCAAGTGTGGTGTTGGATTTATTTATTTACCCATTGCTCTGAAAAGCAAGCCTGGTGGGTCCATGCCATGGTAACATCAATACAAGAATAATGTACATAGTTACTACATAGTAACTACATAGTTCCCTAAAAATCAGCTCAGAGACTCCAGTTGGTACAGAATGCTACAGCTTGGTTATTATTGGGAGCTGGGCTGAGCATGCACATTACATTCATTCTGCAGTCTCTCCACTGGCTGCCCAACAGTTCCTGATCTTTAATTCAAGGTATTGGCTATCACATACAAAGCCCTTTATGGCCTAGGATCCTCATATCTGCAAGACTGCCTCTCTACCTACAGCCTGCTGGGGCAACTTTGCTTATCTGAGCAGGGCCTTCTCTGTAGTGGCCCCCACCCAGTGGAATGGCCTGCCTGAGGAGGTCAGGAAGGCTCCCATGCTCCTGGTATTTTGCAAACTATGTAAAGCAGAATTGTTCAGGAGGGCATTTTTATAAACAGGGCTGCATCAGTAACAGATTGGCCCAGGAAAATGCATGTGTTTCTACTGGTTTAATACCATGTTCTGCATGGTTTAACATGTCACATTTAATACTTGTTTTGTTCAGATGACCACTCCATTTTGAATGTCTGCAGTTCCTAGTCCTGTTACATTGCCTATTAGCTGTATCATCCTATTGATTGCAACTTATTTACATTGCAGTCTGAGAAAGGCAGACTAACGTAAATAAATTAAAAATGGACATGTAGATGTTAAACATGGGCCGTGGTGGCTCAGAGGTCAAGACGCTGAGCTGCAGACCGGAAGGTCTGTAGCTCAGCAGTTGGAGACCTTAGTGGTGCGTGATGGAGTGAGCTCCTGTCGCTGGCCCCAGCTCCTGCCAATGTAGCAGTATGAAAGCAAGAAACTGCAAGTAGATAAATAGGTATGCTTCAGTGGGAAGGTAACAGTGTTCCATGCGCCTCAGCGTTTAGTCATGCCAGCCACATGACCACGGAGAAGTCTTCGGACAGCGCTGGCTCTTCTGCTTGGAAATGGAGATGAGCACTGCCCCCTAGAGTCAGATTTGACTGGCTTTCGAGCAAGGGAAACCTTTACCTTTTTAGATGTTGAACAGGGACTATAATTACTCCAGCGTTGGCCTGTCTATTGGCTTCCAATATATTGCTGGTTGTTGATGCTTAAAGCCCCGTATGGCTTGGGATGAACATACCTGAAGCACTGCCTTCTTCCTTGTGAACCTGTCCTACTACTACATCTTCTGAAGCCCTGCTGTGGGTGCCCTTGCCTTCTGAGATTAGGTTCACGGCATCCAGAGAAGGGGGCCTTCTCGGTCATGGGACCAAAAGTCTGGAACTCTCTTGCCATCTTGGGCGAAGACCTCACATTTAAGCAGTCCCATCACTTTCCCCCAGGGTTGCGAAGTCCACCCCCCCCCCACCGGACACCAATGAGGGGGTAGGGTTGCAAGATGCAGGCTGGGAAACATCTGGAGATTTGGAGATGGAGCCTGGCGAGGACAAGAGCCTCTGGGGTACAGTGCCATAGAGACCACTCTCCAAAGCATCCCTTTTCTCTAGGGGGACTGATCTCTGTAACCTGGAGATGAGCTGTAATTCCAGGGGATCCCCAGGTCCCACCTGGAGGCTGGCAATCCCAGTGCTCCCCACCCACCCCGCCCCTCCCTTTGCTTTGGAGAAGGGCAGGGAGGGAGCTCTGCACATCCCCATTATTAGCTCCATGGCTCAGTGAGGATCTGATCCTGGATTTCTCCAAGTCCAAGAATGGTTTGTTTGTTTTTTTTACTACATCTAGTTTATTTAAATAGTTAATTATTTTAAACATGTAATGTATGCATGTGCATTCATGTAGATTAGATATTTAACTTAAATACTTAATCGACTATTTAAATAAAGTTGAACAGGAGCGATTAAAGCATGTGGCCATACAAAACTGTAGGGGTATCCTGAAGTACTGTTTCCTTTCTCTCAAGGCAAATCCAGCAAAGATGGAGGTTCTCTGACTGCGTGGGGGAGATTCAGTTTTGGGGTGCCAACTCCCGGCCCTTGACTATGCGCCTTTAACACCTGCACAGATGGTCAAGAGCTTGGGTGTGTTTCCAGATGCCTCATCAATGGAGCCCCAGATCACAAACGTTGCTAGACTGGCGTTCTTCCAGTTGTGCCAGGTCAGGCAACTGGCCCCCTACTTGTCTTGCTCCGACCTAGCCATAGTTTGGCTAGGCACAGTCTGACGTCGTCGATACTGGGTAAATTGGTGGAAACTGTTACTAAGGAAAGAATTAGTAAGCACATTGATGAACAAAAGCTATTGAGGCTGACTCAGCATTGGTTCTGTAAGGGAAGATCTTGTCTCACTAACCTGTTAATGTTCTTTGAGGGGGTGAACAAACATTTGGATAAGTGGGACCCAAAAGATGTTGTTTACCTTGACTTCCAGAAAGCTTTTGATAAAGTTCCTCATCAAAGACTCCTAAGTAAGCTCAAAAATCATGGGATAAAAGGACAAGTCCTTTCGTGGATCAAAAACTGGCTAATTAATAGGAAACAGAGAGTGAGTATAAATGGGAAATTTTCTCAGTGGAGGGTGGTAAGCAGTGGGGTACCGCAGGGATCAGTACTGTGTCCGATGTTTTCTAATTTGTTCATTAATGATTTGGAGTTGGGAGTAAGCAGTGAAGTGGCTAAATTTGCGGATGATACAAAGTTGTTCAGGGTGGTGAAAACCAGGGAGGATTGTGAGGCACTCCAAAGGGATCTGTCGAGGATGGGCGAGTGGGCGTCAGTGTGGCAAATGGGGTTCAATGTGGCCAAGTGCAAGGTGATGCACATTGGAGCCAAAAATCCTAACTATAAATACACGTAGATGGGGTCCGAACTGGCAGAGACTGACCAAAAGAGAGATCTTGGAGTCGTAGTAGATAACTCACTGAAAATGTCGAGACAGTGTGTGACTGACTGCAATAAAAAAGGCCAATGCTATGCTGGGGATTATTAGGAAGGGTATTGAAAACAGATCAGCCAATATAATGCCCCTGTAAAAATCAGTGGTGCAACCTTATTTGGAATACTGTGTACAGTTGTGGTCACCACACCTTAAAAAGGATATTATAGCTTTGGAAAAAGTTCAGAAAGGGCAACTCGAATTATAAAAGGGTTGGAACACTTTCCCTATGAAGAAAGGTTAAAATCCTTGGGGCTCCGTAGCTTGGAGAAATGACGACTGAGGGGTGACCTGATTGAGGTTTATAAGATTATGCATGGGATAGCGCAGATAGAGAAAGAGGTACTTTTCTCCCTTTCTCACAATACAAGAACTCGTGGGCACTCCATGAAATTGCTGAGCGGTTGGATTAGAACAGATAAAGAGGGAATTAGATAAGCATATGGAGCAGAGGTCCATTGGTGGCTATTAGCCACAAGGTATAGATAGGGACTCCGGGGCAAGTGATGCCCTGTATTTTTGGTGTTTGGGGAGGGGGTCAATAGTGTGAGGGCTCCTAGTGTCCTGACCCCACTGCTGGACCTCCTGATGGCACCTGGTATTTTTGGCCACTGTGTGACAGAGTGTTGGACTGGATGGGCCATTGGCCTGATCCAACATTGGCTTCTCTTATATTCTTATCCATGCCATGGTCGCCTCTAGGCTTGATTACTGTAACTTGCTCTATGCAGGGCTGCTCTTGAGGCTGATCTGGAAGTTGCAACTTGTCCAAAATGCAGTGGCCTGGGTCCTTAGGGGGACACCAGTAATAGTACATATCTATTCTGTGCTTCACCAGCTGTGCTGGCTCCAAGTTGAGTACCGGGTTAGATTCAAGGTATTGGTTTTTATCTTTAAAGCCCTAAATGGTCAGGGCCAACATACTCGTGGGACTGCCTCTCCTGGTATGTCCCCCAGAGATGTTCAGGAGAACAACATCTACTGGAAGTCCCTGGCCCAAGGAGCGTCTGGCTGTCGTCAACCAGAGCCAGGGCCTTCTCTGTTCTGGCTCCAAGTTGCTGGAACTCTCTGCCAAATAACATCAGGGCCCTGCGGGACTTGTTACAATTCCTCAGGGCCTAAAAGGCAGAAATATTCCACCTACAGTTGAGGACAGCAACAGTTTAACAGCAATTGAATCTATCAGTTGCCTCCTCACTATCCTCCCCCCATGTTAATGTGGATCAGGTTTTTACTGCAGTGCCATGTAGGCTTATGTTTCATGATAGTACATAAATATGTTCGAATTGCTGTAAAACTGAACACCACTCTGAGCCTGCTTTGCAGGGGTAGTGGTACAGAAATTCAATGAAATGAATGTGAAAGATCATAAATTTCGGTCTTTTGCATACATGGAGCAGGGGACATACAATGATCACATGAAACTGCCTTATACTGACTCAGATCCCTGGTGGTCCATCAAAGTCAGTATTGTCTACTCAGACTGGCAGCAGATCTCCAAGGCTCTCCAAAGTCTCAGGCAGTGATTTTTCACAGCATCTACTTCCAGATCTTTTAACTGGAGTGGAGATACTGGGGACTGAACTGGAGACCTTCTGCCTGCCAAGCAGATGCTCTACCACTGAGCCACAGCCCTTCCAGATGCTACCAAATCCCTTGCAAGATCTCCTACGAACAGCTACCACTCAAGGTAAAGGTTCCCTTGCTCGAAAGCCAGTCGAGTCCGACTCTAGGGTTGTGGTGCTCATCTCCGTTTCAAAGCCGTAGAGCCAGCGCTGTCCGAAGACATTTCCATGGTCATGTGGCCGGCATGACTAAACACCAAGGCGCAAGCGGTACCTATTTATCTACTTGCAATGCCTTGCTTTCGAACTGCTAGGTTGGCAGGAGCTGGAACTAGAGACGGGAGCTCACTCCGTCATGCGGTACCGTGGGTCTTGAACTGCTGAACTACCGACCTTCCACAGCCTGCAGTTTAGCGTCTTAACCACTTGAGCCACCACAGCTCCACCACTCAAAGAAGAATTAAGGCTTCCAAAATAACCCGGGAATCTTATTTGCAGACAATACAACTGTTCCGCTAGTTCTTCCGTCACCTGCGCCTGTCAGCCTCGCAGTTTCTAGAAAGCTCTGGAAGGACAAAGGGAATCACGAAAGAAGGCAGAGTCACTTGCGCCTGCGTAGATGGAGATCGTGTCTCCAACCTTTGTACGGGCAAGGACTTCTTTGGCTGCTACTGCGCCTGCTCAGAAACGACGTTCTCGCTCACAGGGGTACATAACCTTCAGGCCACGTGGGTGTTATTCTTGAAACCGGCTCCGCAAGCAGGGAGTTCAAGGAGACTCGGACGCGCGCGGTGGGAAGAAGTCCCGGGAGGAGAGCGAGTGCGTTAGACCCAAGGATCAAGATGCCCCGGGGGAGCAGGAGTGTGGGGTCTCGGACGACTGCGGCTAGGTAGGCGCAAACTAGCATGGCAGGTAGCCCGATGGGCAAGATCACTCTCTTTTCTAAAAAGTGCGTTGCTTCTAAAAGGACAGGGGCCGAGAACGCAAACCCGTACGGCGCTGACCATTTCAGGCGCTTTGTAAATAGTAGATTCCTGCCAGAGGGTAATTTATTTATTTATTTATTATTAATTCGACTTGTCAGCTTTGGAAACCTCCCCCCCCCCCCCCCACACTAGAGCGGCGTCGGCACAAGCACCCAGGGGAAAAAGAAACGGCTCTCTGTACGTGCTCAGGAGCTCAGACCTCGTATTATTTCCCACGTCAGAAAGCTAAATTCTGGCATCGACGAAGGACGAAGCTGGAGGGAGATCCTTGACGATTAAAGTCTTGGATCTTTTCCTCGAGGAAGTGGTCCTACCGGGTGTGGGTTGCTGGAATACTCATGGAATCGCTTTATTCATTAGATTGATTCATAATATTCCAGACACCTCCCCCTTCTCTCTAGTTAAAAAAAAAAAGTCAAGGGTTAAAATATTACATCATGGGTGTTTTTTTGTTAGTATTAATGGGTTTTTTTTCTTTGTATGTGTTATGAATAAAAAATAAATAAATTGACTCTTAGGGAAATTTGAATTTTTAAGGCATCCGCTGCTCGTTTTTCATGTCTTCCCTCACCAGGTAGCCATGGCAGTGATTGGTATTGTGGTTTTATTGAAAATGGCAGGGTATTGAGGGCTCCCCCATCTGGCACCATCTTTTTCAAAGCATGTAGATCATCTACATGTTCCCTGTGATATCAGGAAATAACTTTTACCTCAAACTGTGGGTGTTTTTGATGTGTCATAAAGAAGAAGAAGAAGAGATTGGATTTATACCCCGCCCTTCACTTGGAGTCTCAGAGCGGCTTACAAACTCCTTTCCCTTCCCCTTCCCACAACAGACACCCTGTGAGGTGGGTGGGGCTGAGAGAACTCTGACACAAACTGCTCTTTTCCAAGGACAGCTGTGCCAGAGCTTGTGACTGACCCAAGGTCACATCAGCAGGTGCAAGTGGAGGAGTGGGGAATCAAACCCGGTTCTCCCAGATTAGAGTCTGCGCACCTGTTAAGTTTTAGTCAGTGTTTTTAATCGTGCCATAAAGCCTGTTAACTTTTCTGGAATGGCACCAAAGTCATCCTTTCCCTTCATTTTGTTTCCAAGGGGTTATTTTGGTACTAAAACCATTGTTCTTTTTCTAAAACCATAAAATATGGTATCTCCTAATTAGGGAGGGAAACCTGGATATTATCCAGGAATGGGGGATGAGCAGAGTACCAGATCAGGGTGTGAATATACTTTACATATATAGCTGCTTGTGGCAAACAGAACATCTCAAGGTGACCCTTGGGGGAGGGTCAATTGTCCCATTCGGCTCACCTTTTGATTAGAGCAGGGGTGTCAAACTCATTTGTTATGAAGGCCGGATCTGACATAAATGAGACCTTGTTGGACTGGGCCATGTGTGTCATAAAATGTAATGGCAGGTAGCGGAGATATAAACTTTATAAAGGACACAAACACAAAGGGCTTTTTTTTAACTTAAAATAAAGAAGAAGAAGAAGAAGAAGAAGAGATTGGATTTATACCCCGCCCTTCACTTGGAGTCTCAGAGCGGCTTACAAACTCCTTTTCCCTTCCCCTCTCCACAACAGACACCCTGTGAGGTAGGTGGGGCTGAGAGAACTCTGACACAAACTGCTCTTTTCCAAGGACAGCTGTGCCAGAGCTTGTGACTGACCCAAGGTCACATCAGCAGGTGCAAGTGGAGGAGTGGGGAATCAAACCCGGTTCTCCCAGATTAGAGTCCGCACACTTAACCACTACACCAAACTGGCTCTTAACCACTACACCAAACACTACACACTTAACCACTACACCAAACATGCTTAGAACATTAGCACTCTTGCAATATTTAGTTTATTTAACAGTGTCTGATAACTGACACCTCTTGCTCTGAATTATTACATCAAAATGTCTGTGCTGTTGCAATCTTGAGTATGCTGTTCAGGTGCGTATCGGTAAGCTGCAAACCTACAATGATGCAGCAGCAGCAGAAGAAGCAGAAGACAGCCAGTTCCACTGCAGGCCTGGTAAAAGCCCTCCGGGGGCCTGATCTGGCCCCCGGGCCACATGTTTGACACCCATGGATTACAGTGTTTTGAAAGAAAATGAACTCCGGCCTTTGACTGGTTATAAGTAGACCAAAGGCCATATTTACAGTCCACACTGCTGACCCACTACAGAGGGCTGTAGTCCATCTAAATGTGGTCGGGGTAGAAAGTGCTGTCAGGTTGCAGCCGACTTATGGCAACCCCATAGGGTTTTCAAAGCAAGAGATGTTCAGTGGTGATTTGCCATTGCCTTCCTCTGTGTAGCAACCCTGGATTGCCTTGGTGGTTTCCCATCTAAGTACTAATCAGAGCTGACCCTGCTTAGCTTCCGAGATCTGATGTGATAGGGCTAGCCTGGGGAATCTGGGTTGGGCCCCATCTAAAGGTAGTTGTGAATAAATCCCACTGTGTTGTAGTGGTCAGTGTTGGACTAGGTTCAAATCCTCACTCAGCTGTGGAGGTCACTGGGTGACCTTGAGCTGGTGGCAGTCTTTCAGTGTGTCTTATTCTGAGGAATATTGTGAGGATAAAATGGAAGAAAGGTGAACTGTATATGTTGTCCTGACCTATTAGAAACGATGGGATAGAAAATATCATAGCTGAACAACTTAAACCATGTTACCTTCTTTAGGATTTTGCAATGCTAAGGTCTGGTTCACACATGCAAAAAACTGAGGTGTTGTGATGAACGGTAAGTATCAGATTGCAGTTTTGAATGCTCATATATGTTTAAAAACTCCCTGCATATAGAAACCAGCATTAGAACCTTTCCGACTGTTGTGCTAGCTTTCTGCCTGGATGGAACTCTATATACATTCAAAGTTGGACTCCACCAGTCTGAAGTGAAGTGTTCTATTCAACCGTTTAAGTATTCTGTCACCTCATTGTTCTGCATTTGTCAACCAGGCCTAACTTTAGCTGAACTTGGGTCATTGATTCTACTATGGCTACTCTGTACTAGGTGAGTTGAGTCTGCATTTCTGAAGGGGTGATGTTTGTTCTGCATTCATTTCAAAAATCTGCTGATAGACCACATCGGTTGCCCATAATGCTCCCAGCTAATAATTAGCTTCTTAAGGGGAGCACACAAGCTTTTTTCTTCTGTCCATGGTAGGAATGCAAAGCAAGAACTGGGAGAGTAATAAAGCAACCAGTAACTCCGGAGCAAGATGTTGTACTCCAGGGTATATTTACACTGTCTGTCAAACTGTGTTACACATCAACTGTTTTCCGTTTGCAGGGAGGAGAGATTTAGCATGGAAAATCAACCAGTTTCTCCCACACATAAATCTTTGGTATTAAATGGTTTGAAGTATTGTGTTGATGAAAAGACATACCAAATTAAGCTACCTACCAAATTAAGCGATCAAAAATTAGTCAAACCAGGGATCCATGGTAGGAATGCAAAGCAAGAACTGGTTTCTGGACTGAAGTTGATTTAGAAATTGGGAGAGTAATAAAGCAACCAGTAACTACGGAGCAAGATGTTGTACTCCAGGGTATTTACACTGTCAGTCAAACAGTGTTACACATCAACTGTTTTCCGTTTGCAGGGAGGAGAGATTTAGCACAGGAAATCAACCAGTTTCTCCCACACATAAATCTTTGGTATTAAAGCGTTTGAAGTATTGTGTTGATGAAAACACATACCAAATTAAGCTACCTACCAAATTAAGCTATCAAAAATTAGTCAAACCAGGGATCTATGCGCAGGTGATCTCAATCAGACCAGTGATCTGTGTATTCCTGTAGCTTGTTAAACACAATGGCCAATCACATGACCACTATGTTAAAAAAACTCCCTGCAAACAGAAAGCTAGTAAGCAAAGATAAGCAGTAGAATCTTCTTCCTGACATGTTATGTGTTGTAGGGAATCTTCAGTCATGTGAGTTCTCTACTAGCAGTCTGAATTGGTACAGCTCAGACATTGGTTTACCTTTACCATCTTGGTGGGAGCAAAGCTAATACCGGGTTGCATTCTGGAGGCTGTGTGCCAGGTAGAGAACAAGCCACCAGGAGTGCTGCTGTTGTGGAAACTAAGCACAATGTCAATTACTGGTGGCCTATGAAGCTAGCAGTCATCAGTCACCAGCTATTAGCCATGGTGGCTACATGGAATTGCCATGTTAAGAGGAATGGAGTCTGCAATATGGATGGAAGGGAGGAGAGAGAGAGACAGAGAGAGAGACAGAGAGAGACTTTGGCCTCCATAGGGGTCTTTCAAACCTAGGGAATGCTGGTTGGCCAGTGTATGAAGCAGGTAGATGGATTATGATTTAATCATAAAATGGTCTGTTGGCCTGATGCAGCAGAGGTGTCTTTAGGTGGTCTGTCTTGCAAGCTGGTTTGATTTCTGACTGGATGCAGGTTAAGGATTTGCTCAAATCATGGTTCATATGAGCATGAAGGTGACTCCTTTTTATTAATTTCAAATCCTGAGTCTGACTATTTTGTTCCCCTTCTCTTTCTTCCAGCAGCCCAGTACCGTCTCATGCCCACCCCCCGGCACACCCTCCCCCTTCAGCTGTGGCAGCCCCGGCTCAGCCTCAGCAGCCCGGCTTGATGGCCCAGATGGCCACCACTGCAGCAGGAGTGGCCGTTGGCTCTGCTGTGGGCCACGTGGTTGGCGGTGCTCTCACCGGGGCATTCAGTGGAGGCAGCAGCTCCGAGCCGGCAAAACCAGCCAGCACCACACAGGTGAGACTGGGATCCTTGGTCGATTGTAAGTATCTGGGTGGGTGGTGGGGCCGATGAAAATGACTGCTCGCCTTTGGTGCGCATCTAGGGCGAGTTTCTGCTGGTGAATTTGGTTCCTGGGGTTGAAAGGCCCTTTTTTCTCTCCTCCCTCTCCCATATGGAGAAAAGCAGCTGAAGGGAGGATGACATTGAAGGGCAAAAGCTTGCTGGGAAAAGATTAAGCCGTCTGTAAGCGTGCCTGCCTTTCAAAGGGTGTTAGACGGATTTGGGGGAGGAGGCGGGAATGGATCCATCAGTTGTCACTAGCCGTGGTGACTAAAGGGAACCTCCGTGTTCAGAGGCAATTAACCTCTGAATCCCAGTGCCAGGAGCAATGTTCCCTCTAAGCTGTGGGGTCTTGTGAGCTAAAATTCTACTTTGTGAGCTACTGGCATTAAAGTTGTGAGCAAGAGATTTGGCTGCTGGATAAACTAGTTTGCTCTGGAGCCGTCCTTCCTGAGCCAAGACAAAAATGTGTGAGCCAGAGGCTCAAAAACTGTGAGCTAGCTCACACTAACTCAGCTTAGAGGGAACACTGGCCAGGAGGCAATATCAGTGGAAAATCTTGGCCTCTATCTTTGGCCCCCACAGGGCAACTGGTTGGCTACTGTGTGAAACTGGGTGCTGGACTAGATGGACAACAGGTCTGATCCAGCAGGGCTCTTTTTATGTTAAAGCTCCCACCAGTGGTCACCTGCAGTTACTTTGTTTTTCCTAATGAGTATCTTAGTGCCACAGGAGAGAAATATATCGAGCTGCTTTCTGCTGAGTCAGACCATTGGTCCATCTAACCCATTATCACCTGTTTTGACAGATGGTCTGTCTTTGGGGCCTTGGCTGGGCAAAAAGTCAGTGCTTGCCACTTGAGATTCTTCTCAGCTGAGGACATCAGGGATAGAACATGCAAAGCAGATGCCCTATCACTGAACTGTGGTCTCTCCCTGCATAAGGCAGGAGTTTGGCTTCCCCCCTTGGCTTGTTGACAGACAAGCTTTGCAATGAACTCTGACCATTACATCATATAAAAGTTGAAACTGATGAGGCTTGATTTGGTGATGGCATCAAGCCAGGTCTGTTCTGTAGGTTAGCCCAAAAGGGAGGTGGTTGTTAAATGCTTCTGGAATCCTTGTTACGAGTTGTTCACCTACAAACCTCTGTCCTCCTGAGTTGAAGGCGTGGTGTGTCATCAAGACTAACCAGAAAGGAGGCTTGTAGCATCTAAAGGACTCACATTTTATTGTGCCGTAAGCGTTTGTGGACTGCATCATTGTGCGTCTGACGAAGTGAGTTCTGGTCCATAAAAACTTTGGCTGCAGTAAATCTGTTAATCTTTTAACCGTGTAGTCCTCAGCAAAGTTACACCTTTGTTGAAGCCAGTGGACTCAGAAGTGTGTGACTTTGTTTAGGATTGCATTGTAAGAGTACTCTTTGTTTTGCTGTGCCAGACAAAGACAACTACCTGCCTGGACATCCTCTAAGTTCAGCTACCACTAGAAGGGCTTCTTCCACTTCAGACTTGATTATTTCACCATTGCACTCCACTATTTGCATACCACATTTAGTAATTAAACTGTTCCAGAGAAAAACACACATCCAAAACAAAAAAGAAGAAAAGGGGTATGTTAATCTTTTAACTGTGTAGTCCTCAGCAAAGTTACACCTTTGTTGAAGCCAGTGGACTCAGAAGTGTGTGACTTTGTTTAGGATTGCATTGTAAGAATACTCTTTGTTTTGCTGTGCCAGAGAAAGACAACTACCTGCCTGGACATCCTCTTGAGTTCAGCTACCACTAGAAGGACTTCTTCCACTTCAGACTTGATTATTTCACCATTGCACTCCACTATTTGCATACCACATTTAGTAATTAAACTGTTCCAGAGAAAAACACACATCCAAAACAAAAAAGAAGAAAAGGGGTAACAGCCCAAGTATTCAGCTAGCTGATCAGAATACACAGTTGGAAATGGCTGAGAAAAGTTCTTCAACTGTACTGTACAGAGAAGTGGCTGAGTGGGATACCATTGCAGAAATAGGATATGGGGCATGACACCTAGCTCTAGGATCTGCTGGGCTACATTGTCCTGGGTTTAAACCTCACAGAAACCATCTTCTTTGTCAGCCTTTTTGTTTCTTGGCTGATTTGAAAGAGCATGCGGGGCCGTGGCTCAGCGGCAGAGCATCTGCTTTCCATGCACAAGATTCTTGGTTCAGTCCTGGACAAATCTGATGCAAGACCTCCACCTGAATTCTGGAGAGCTTGTGCTAGTAAGCAGATGCTACTGATCTGGATAGATCAATAATCTGACTCAACATAAGTCAGCGTCATGTTTTCTTTCCTGCCCCTTCCTGCGCCCTACAGAAAGGGTGCTCTGGGGGAAAGCTGAGAAACAATGCCAAAGAATTAACTGAATGTCAGTGGAACTGTGGTTACAGATGCTGTGACTGTCTCAGGAGATGGACAGAGATGAGAGGAATAGAGCGTATGAGACAGAGAAGGCTGATTTACCACCCTCCCTCTTTTTTGTGTGTCAATGGGAACTTCTGTCTCTATTTCTACTTTGGCTTTGAGCTGTTCCTCTTTCACTGCTCTGTATCTGTGTCCTTTCTTTGCTCCTCTTTCATCCTGCCCAAACTAGGCAGTGTGGTAGAGTTTTACAAATAATCTCCCAGTGCCTTGTTTTAAATCGAAAAGCAGCTTTGACTGGTGTGATTAGGAGCTCAGAGCCAGCAGGCGGAGAAGGGGCCTGCTTAACCATTCACTTCAAAGTTGCATTCTTCCCAGTTGGTTTTGCACCCAGGAGGGTAAAGATGTGGGGTCCCAGTATCCTGTCCCTGTTCAGGGAGAAAAGCAACAAGGGAGGACAGATTGGGGGCAGGGAGTGGAGGGGAAAGAAAAAAAAATTGAGTATTGTTCTTCTTCCCACAAGGATCTTTCTCTGCTTCTACTGGCTGCTTTTGGCTAAACAAAACTGGTCCTGCATCTCCTGTGGATTGTCTTTGGGCCAAATGAGATGATGCTGCATCCCCAAGTCCGCCACTGGGATGCAGTGCCCTTTTAGAGTTTGTATTTCTATTTTTCGCAATGTGGCAGGGGCCCAGTCTTTCTAAGGACCACAGCACAGGGTATGAGGAGTTCCTGGCTCCCAACACTGCACCAGTTTCAAGAGCTGAAACAGCTGCTGTTTTGTGGCATTTTGCAGAGTAAAAATCCAGACTGTAAGATGGTGCCGCATTCTCATGTCCCCCTCACTGGCAGTCTTCAAGCAGCGGCTGGACAAACACTTGTCAGGGATGCTCTAGGCCAGTGGTGGCAAACCTTTTAGAGACCGCGTGCCCAAACTGCGAACCCAAAACCCACTTATTGATCGCAGGGTGCCAACACGGCAATTTAACCTGAATATTGAGGTTTTACTTTAGAAAAAACAACTCGTACATTAACTTAAGATGATCCAAACAAAGTAAGGAAAGCAATCCCAAATGCTTTCATTTACTTAAAATTATTTGGCAGAGAATTCCACACTTTAATGTTGGTCTGGGCCTGGCTGGGGTGATGGCATGCGTGCCCACAGAGAGGGCTCTGAGTGCCACCTCTGGCACCCGTGCCATAGGTTCGCCACCACTGCTCTACGCTGATCCTGCACAGAACGGGGTTGGACTAGATGGCCTGTATGGCCCCTTCCAACTCTGGGATTCTATGATTTGGGGGCATTTTATTGTCTGGTTTGGCCTCTAGTTTTACCTAAGCGGACCAACCAAAGAAAGGTACAGAGGAATGGGCCAACAGACACTCTACTGGTTGCAGAAACTGTCTGCCACTTAGTTACCCACGGAAACCATTGCCATCATGAGTCGGGAGAAAGAGAGTCAAGAATGTTAAAATACTGGGTTGGATCCATCCAGCTTCTCCACTGGTTTAAAAAGGTATGAGAGGCTCTCCTTTGACCAAGCTGTACTGGGGATCATGGGACTTGCGTGGATAAAAGCCAATGTGGGTCAGGGGTTGTAGTAAGGGGGGGACTTTAAAAAGCGGGCTGGATCCAACCCATCTGATGTTGAAATATATCCTGAGCTGACAGTCTCTTCTGTTGTGTGCCTGTAGGAGCCCAGGCAGCAGCCGTCCTATCAGCAATCCCAGTATGGACCATGCCACTATGAGATGAAGCAGTTCCTGGACTGTGCTACCAACCAGAGTGACCTGACCTTGTGCGAGGGCTTTAGCGAGGCCCTGAAACAGTGCAAATACAGCAGTGGTGAGCATTGCAGTTGAGGAGTAGCCTACCTTGGTTGAGGTTTGAGAGGTGATGGTGCTGTGCCTGATGCTCGGAGGTTGTCGTCTGAGGAAGTCCTGTTGACATTAACAGCAGCTACGTGGAAGAGCACACTTGTAGTACAGTCTTGAAATTTGGCTATTGTTATAGTAATACATCCAATGTATGCTGGAAATGTAAATCAAATGTGGGGACCTTTTACCACATGTGGTGGAAATGCAAGAGAGTTCAAAAGTATTGGAAAATGATACGCAAAGTTATACATGAAATTTTGGGACTGAATCTTGATTTAAGACCAGAAATCTATCTCTTAAATGTGGTACCAGATGGATATAGCTTTAAAGATGTGTATTTAATAACTTACATAATAACGGCTGCTAGAATGTTGTTGGCTGAACAATGGAAATTAGAAAAATTGCCCTCTAAAATATACCTAATTTTAAAATTATTAGATCTTGCACAAATGGATGATCTGAACTTAAAACTACAAGGGAGGAACAACACGGTACAAACTAAAAGATGGAAAAGGGTTTATAATTGGATAAACAGTTTGGATGAATGAAAGACTCTGGAAATATATGTAATCTATGAGGATGTAATGTTTAACGAAAAGTAAAAAAATTAAAAAAAAGAAATTTGGCTATATTGTTTGGCTATATGAATTTGGCTATATTGTTTAGTGCTATTTAGTGTATGGCTATGTTAGCCATACCACCCATCTATGGTTCTGGTGGTCAGATTTTTGTAACAGAGGAAGAGACTTCCAGATGGGGAAGCAGATGGCAACAGGGTAGGGCGTAGTCGCCTACCTTGGTTGAGGTTTGAGAGGTGATGGTGCTGTTCCTGATGCTCGGAGGTTGCAGTCTGAGGAAGTCCTGTTGACATTAACAGCAGCTGCGTGCAAGAGCACACTTGTAGTACAGTCTTGCAATTTGGCTATATTGTTTGGCTGTATGAATTTGGCTGTATTGTTCAGTGCTATTTAATGTATGGCTATGTTAGCTGCGGTGGCTCAAGTGGTTAAGACGCTGAACTGCAGGCTGTGGAAAGTCGGTAGTTCAGCAGTTCGAGACCCAAGTTGCCGCATAATGGAGTGAGCTCCCGTCTCTAGTTCCAGTTCCTG